TTGTTTCGAAAACATGACTAACACGAGAGATTTGAAACGATTTCAGCCTTTGATTTTTTTCTATTTCCGACGTACACGTCTAAGGACCCCTGAGTTTAGTCTTTCAGAATAAGCCTATTGCTGTCTGAAGGGGGACTTCTAGAAAGAAAATCTAGTCTGGATAATATACGTACCTGAGCAGTTTCGTACCAATTCAACCGAAACAAAATCTAGTCCGCTACTTGATACAAAGAGCTGAAAAGGTTTTCTCGGCAGACCGCATTGAGAAGGATCTCAAAAAATCAAGAAACTGCTTCAGGAGAACGGGTATCCTAAGAGATTAATTACAGAGAATATGGTTGTGAGACAAGTAAAAACCACCATACCTTCTGCGGAACAGTTAATGATATTCATCACAGTCCCCTTTCAAGAGGATGCGCAAGGTGAACTCTTAAGAAGAGGCTTTGGCTGACCTGTATCACAAACTTTTCTAGTAGCGAGAGTTTGGTTGTTATTACCAACCCACCTGGTCTTGCACGGGGAAGGTAAGAATAGGTTGCCAATTCAAAGCACCTCCATGTGTATGTACTCATTTGCTCGCTCTTGTGGAGCAGGTTGTATTAGTCGCACGGATCGGCGGTTATCAAAAAGAACAGGGGAACATCTCCTGTTATGACCATTAAAAGGTGGAGTCAGAAGCATAAACGGCGCAATTCTCACGCACATCGTTGATTCCGTACATCGTGTGGGCCTCAACGAAGCGTTCCTGATAATTTATAAACTACCCCAATTTCATGGATCAGCGTCTGCTAGCAGGATCAAAAGTGATTGCTATAAATTTTGAGGAAACCGGTCTTGTGTGCGCAAAAGAACCTACTGGAAGCTCCGCGCCTGAAATGGCCAACGGTCGCTTAACAGTATGCACTTTTCCATGCTCTCTCTTTTTGCTCCCCCCCCTCCCTCGACCGACTCCACGGAATCCCGCTGTATAACCCGTCCCTTCTTATCGACCCCTACACCGCCCTCGCCCTACCATGACCGTCTTGGATTAAGTGACGAACATAACTGATTATAGTTTTCAGCTTTGACCTTGTTCCCATATAAATGTAATTGCCCGATGAAAATTTATCGAAATCTCACGTCTGCTCGCCAACTGCTCTCTTGATTTCTTAATCCAATTTGTCAACTGTGTTTCTAGTATCCTATATGTACATATTTCCGGGTACCAGACAAGGGACTCGATACGAAGTGGACATCACCGCTGCTATCAAAACTCGTAATCGCAGATCAGCGAAGCCGAAGAAGCATGCGCGTTGTTTTGAAGCAGTTCA